TCATTTTCTGCTTCATAGAATATTAAATAGCTTCTTTTAAAGTTCCAGAATGCAGACTTGACCAAAGCAGACTCTATTTTACAATTAGCAAATTTGGTAGGACCACACATTGTGGTACTAAAAACGCACGTAGATATAGTAGAAGACTTCAGCTGTGATTTTATAAAGCGTTTGCAAGATTTGGCTAAGAAGCGCGATTTCCTTTTAATGGTGGACCGGGAGTTCGCGGATATCGGTAACACAGTGTTTTTGCAATACCAAAAGAGTATTTACAAAATTGCGCCATGGGCAGATATTGTTACTGCGCATGCGATAGCAAGAAAGAGCATAGTAGATGGGTGAAAGAATGTGTTAGAAAATGTTAACGAACCGCGTAGTATTATTATAGTGGCGCAAATCATATGGGGATATTAAAATCAACAGATGTCAAAGTAGCTAATGGTAAAGCAGTGTAAGGTGCACCACAGATCTCGGATATGTTTTCACGGGTGAGAAGCTAGCGTTCCGATCACGCAGTGCCTGAAAACCTAATCCTACATCTTTAACGTCAGACAATATTAATCTGTATTTATTTCATTATTTATTCTTATCCTAGAATGAACTGTACTCTTGAATGAAATATAATACGAAATAAAAATAGCTATGTGCAACAGGTTATCCTTATTAATATAAATATCGCTTTGTGGATCATGCTTTCGGGGACCATGTGTGTTTTAATTTCAATAGACAGAAATTATGTTCGAAAAATCGAGTGCCATAGACGTAGAATTGAAGAAGTTAATTAGTAGAAGTTTTTTAGCGTGAATTTTGAAAATAAAGTTGATGCTGAAGTTCAGGACGAAACGTGGGGGGATCATTATCCTGTTTGTGTTTGTGTTAATACACGGAAAAATTATTATATCGAAAAGTCTTTCAAACTTGTTATCAAACGTACACATTGGCCTAATTATGAATCGGTAAAGTATCCTGAGTTCCTCAGCTTAAAATATGAGCATCTTTTTCAAGCGCGAAATATGACTTCTTCGTAAATGTTGGTCAAGAATCCATAATCTCTATTACTTCTAGAAAAAACTCGTTATTTTAGAAATAAAAATAATCTTATTGCATGGTGAGATGTTTGTTGGGTAAACGTTTGAGAGGTGCAACGTATAAAAAATGAAATCTTATCAAAAAAACGCCTAAGCCAACGAAGTATTTAAAAAGAAAAGAAAAAGGATTGCTTTAGAAAATTTGCCAAAAGTATTCATTTCCGTTTAAATCCTATATACGTGTGCAAATTGTACAAACTATTTAAAAATAAATAGATTGTTCAAAATTATGTCAACTGTGCTAATTTTGAATTAGCCGTATCGTCTTCAACGTTCACCTTCCGCCGCGTTCGTGTCGGCTGTTTTTATATTGACGAGTCCAATGCCTATTCGGGGTTAAACCACCTCACGACGTTATACATGGGACCTGCGCATGTATACACCGTCGCTTTGTATTCGTCACTTGGGTCATCCTTTCAATAATCCTAATATTAAATCAGTTACCCATTTTCCATTGTCTCCCATTCAACATCGTTCGTAAAAATTAATATTATTCGTTAAGTTCTAAAAAGGATGCTATCATTGTAAAGTGTATAAATTTATTAATGTTATAAATACCATCTGCAAGAGAGAGAGAGAGAGAGAGATAAAATATATAAGACTATTCTTATAAAAAAAACATCGCTAATTATATAATTATTAGAAATAGTAGCTCAACTGTCCATACAAATAATTGTACTTTATGCTAAATTTCTGAACGATTAATACTCTTATTGCCTCCATATAATATTCAACATTGGTAGTAGAAATGAAATATACAAGATAAACGCTGTGACTAAATTCATGAAAATGAGCTGAGAAACTCAGGATACTTTACCGATTTATGAGTAGCAATACTGACCTCAGTGTATTAAAAACCGTAAAACTAAATAGCAGTTATTTATCTTAAAGTTGTAAAAAATTTCGTCCCATTGGAATTCCGAAAGGACATGTCCTGGAACTCTATAACAAATAATCAAATCAAAAGTTGGTTATCCGCACATTTCAACCGATTGATCAGGTGAAATATTGCACAATTCAGCAAATGTCTCTTAAGGACGAAAATAATAATTCCTTCGCCCCTGGCATAAGTTCTGTCCTTTCTAAATGTAACAAAACGAGTGAAGTTGATCTCATTAGCGGATTCAAGTCAAGATTCCACTATGAAGATGTCCACCTCATGCATAATAATCAGTAGCTGAAATTTTAAGTGAATTAGATTCCGAGTAAAATTTTCGCAATCGCAAGATGATTCTTGTGTCGTGATGTTGTTTCGTGCCCACGTAGAGAACGTTTGACGGATATTCGTGTCGTGGATTTTAATGTCCGGAAGTTTTCCTCGACGATACTGCGTTGCAAAAACAGTACAATTCCAGTCCTTTGCGTAAGAGACGATATTAAAAAAGATAAAAATTGATTAGTGTATCCCCGAAATCGTGGTATAACAGGCCGGACATTGATTCCACATGCGAAAATAAGTGGGGCAAAGGGAATAACATTTTTTCATTCAAGGCTCGTTTCCGAGAAAAACTATGTTGAAAAATAATACTACTTAATGGAAATCATATAGTTGTGCCGGCCACGACATACCAATTCCAAACTTCGCGAACTTGACTCACATTTCACCGCAGTGCGCTCGAGAACACAGCCTTTAATGAAAAAACGTTATTCTTTTTTCTGGACTTACTTTTCCGTCTAGAATCACTACTTGGCCGGATGTACCGCGATGGTCGCGACATATAATTTTTATGCCGTTTGTAACATGATCTTGTAATGTAATGAATTTACTTTTTAGTCTTTTGTTCTACGCGACACAAGTACTGTACGATGCAATAAAAGAAATTCACCTATTCATCTTTAACAAAGACAATTGTGTGGTCCATTTTTGTAACCGATCTTCACCGATCCAGAAGTGTACAATCACGCTATGGTGGTCGTGAAAATAACCAACCATTAATAATAGAAATTTAAACATGTTTTCTGTATTCTTGTGATTTTTCTAGACTTTTTCATGATACTTTTATTCAAAATCTTTATGAAACAAAGACAAAGATAGGTTTTACAATTTTTATAGAGCGTTTCAGCGGTAATTGCAAGTTACTTCGCATCTCGGCTCGATTTTCGTGTTGTTTATCAAAATAATTATTTCTTTTTAACTTAAAAATGCGACAACGAAGTATTAATTTTTTTTATTCTTTTTCATTTTTTAAAATAAATTACATAATTCGTATATACCGTATGTTGTTCGATTTTGGTTATAGAGAAGGCAATGACTTTATACGCAGACATGTACAATTTCATATTTG